GAGCTTTCCTGGGCAGTGGGCGAAGACCTGTCATGGTTTCTGCTGAAGGGTATTTCTTCCAGTAGAAGCATTTAAAGAATCATTTACACCCTCTCAGAAAAGAGACCAGCACAAAATACTCTGCAAATACCTGCTTGTTAATAGGATGCTCATTGATCGTGTAAAAAACCTACCATAGCGGCACAACACCCCCGGGCTGATCAGAACCGGACCTGTTGATGGAGGCGATAAGCAGACAGGATAACAGTGACATTGACACTTTGCTGAGCTAATTTACATTTTAACACACTTTTTAATGCTGCTGCTGACAAAAGCCAAATCAAGCATCCACTGAACAACAGCAAGTGTTCAGGCATCACCAATATGGTTGTATCAGCTGCGGAGTGTATTTGTCTCTGATTGCAGAAGGTGATTTGAGCTTTTTGGAACAGGACAGGGGCTCGCAGGTACTCACAGCAAGCTCTCTGAAACACACACCTCTGAGTCATTTCCACACCCACTTTTGTGGGTTTAGGAATGTGGAGAATGTGGGTTATGCTGTTCTCCTTACTTCCCTTGGTACCTTGGGTGGAGAAGACAGTTGATGAATCCATCAGCAGTACTGGTATGCCTACACTGTGTAGAGCACGACAGACCCTATAGCGAGAGGTGTCTGGGGAGCAGATATGCCACACCATGCTATGCAACACCCTTTTCTTTTCCCTTTATAATCATTATCTTCTTATTTTCCTTTTCAAAGGTAAATAGGCCAAATACACTCTATTACAAGAGTCTCATTTGCAAGTAGTATTCTTCTTTTCTTTTGCATTATATTTTTCTTCTTCAGGAAACTCTTCCTCTCCCCATTACTCTGGATAGCCTAGCTGACTGATGCCCTCTGCACCTTCAACTTTCATCATGAAACACTAAAAGGAATGAACAGCTCACATTACTCTCCCTGCCCAGTCCCACTTCACTTGTCATTCTCCCTGGCACACACTGGTTGAAGATAAAATGACGAACAGTCCCGTAGGGGGTTCAGAAAGACTCATCAGCTCAAAACTCCACAGGCAAAAAAATCTGATATACCCATCATCTTCCAGACATGTTTTCAGTGTTGTTTAGTGATGTTATGTTACGTACTTCAGTGACTTGAGACAGTTTTGCACATAGCACGTGTTAAATACAGTGATGCTTTTTTGACACTTCCTAAATTCCTAAATTGGTGTTACAACTTCTTGGTCCATTCAAGGAGGAAGCCACCCCAAGCCAGCCAACAGAACAAACTTGTTCTGTGAATGAATTCCTCAGCAGTTTGTGGGTCATCAGTGCAGGGAACTGCAGTTTTTCCTTGTCAGAGTTGTAATAATATTTTTTTTCTTAATTTCAGAAGAAATTTCAGGTCATGCCATTGCTCATAAGAAACTTCAGAGTGAAAGAAGATTTATCTTCCTTTTTGAGCATCCCTTAATCCTTGTTTGCAATCAAAAGGGTTTGAGTTGGTCATCCCCTAGTAGAGACGCAGATCTATCCAAATGTGAGCACTTCACCAGTGTGACGGAACCATCTTCCGTTAACGGGATATACTATGAAATACTTTATACTACCAGATTAGCTCATTATTGAGTAGTTTTACAGATGCAATTTCTTTCTCCCAAGATCTTTTCATTTATATAATTGTACTGGCAGGCTTAAATCTAGGCCTCCTTTATGCTTATATATATATATCTCAAAACTCTATAAATTTAGCTAGATCTTTTTCTGAGAAAATTATCCAGAAGATGATTGCAGCCTCACAGAACTAGATTGCTCCATAAAAAGTACCAGTTCAATAGCACTCAGAAAAAGCAGAATCAAGTGTTACAGATTACTGGGAAAGGAAAATGGGTCTTGAGAGAGAGAAGAGGTCTACAAAAGTCCAAGTGGCACAGAAATGTTGGAAAGGGATTAATGTCTCTGAAACAAGAACAAGAGGTCACCAAATCAGCAGAAGCCAACATCAAAAAACAAGAGAGGTCCATGAAGCAAGCGGTAACTCATGGGAATTCCCTTCCAAATGAAACCAAGCCATGTTTATGTGGATTCCAAAGACAACTGTCCAAGCATATGGATAAAAGCAGAACTTCGAACATCATCATACAGACAACTCACACCATTCTCAGGAAAGCCCCCGAAGTGACTCCTCTAGAGAAGACTATTGAGAAGAATCATCATGTTTGATTTTCTGGGCAACCCATAGATCTGTCACCTCTGGAGACAGATTTAGCTAGATGAGCTCTTGGTCTGAACAAAACCAGCCACTTGCTCTGGCAGGACAGATCTTCATTTCACTTCCCTCCCTCCCTGACTACCTGGGGGTACATGAAGCACAAGCAGCTCCAGCTCAAGCTGAAAATACAGTAGGCATCAGGCGCTACGGATGAATTGGCAGTTTCCAGAATCTGTAATCTGCAGGCTGAACTGCTGCAAGCAGGTACCCATTCTTTGTGCATCCCAAAACAGATTAAATGTTTTGTCATCTTAAAAAGTCTTTACAATTTGACTTTAAGTTGCTTAGAACTTTATCAAATGCACATCATATGTCCAAACCCTTGATCAGCTTCTACACTGTTTCATTTTGAAGTTCCATTTTAAAGAGTAAGTGCAGAATGTAAATGCATCTATGGTTCCTTGAGTGCCAGTAGGCCTGAATTAAGGCACTCTCCTCTAGTTCTTAAATTTTCTTCTGCTCCTGGAAAGAAGAAAGTAGAGTTCTCTCTAACCTGCCTTCAACTTAGTCTAAAATGCAACTGCTTAAGAAAAAAACCCAACCCCTTGATGAATAGGATGTAGCAATAATCTTCCTTAACTGCCAGTTACAACAGAGAAATAACTACCTGTAGATATAGCGCAAGGAGAGGAGGGCTGAGTTTCTTGGTGAGGGTTTTGGGGTTTGTTTTTCAGGTCTGGTTTTGGAAAGCAGCCGAATACTAAGAGGGACATCAGTGCACTGGAAACAGAAGAGCTGCTTTGAGCGAAAGAGGAAATCTCTACTTTGAGAGAAAGAAAGCCCACATCTACACCCTGTGCCAAAGGAGAATGGAGAATTCTTTCGAGTGTTGCTTATTGTATCCCAGATAGATATGGTATAAGTTGATGTTTAAAAAACCAGAACATACACAACCAAGAGAAGCCATTAAAATGGGTATTTATGAACTACATAGAGCATGTGCCTTTGGGAGAGGTCAAAGTAATCCCAAATCGAAGGGGTTCATATTGTGACACACTGTGCTTGTAATCAATTTCCAAACATTTCCACAGGCATTAACTGTTGGTTGTTTTTTTTTTTTTTTATTCTTTGGTTTGGGTTTTGTTTTGTTTGCGTGTTTTTTTTCTATCATGAACAGTCTTTTGAAGACAGACTTAAACCTTCATATTTGTGTGGGAGAAAGCTTACTTGTTTTAACAAGCACTGGAGTAAGAGGGTAGAGACATCACATGATCATGATTTACACAGAGATAACTGGTCACGGAACCAATCAAATGAAAAATATTATATGGAGACAATTTAACAAACAGGTGCAGAGACTAAATAAATGCGCAAAGTTCAAAGCTTTTTCTTCTCTTTATTTAAACACAAATACATTTACAGCATGCAGGTAAGTTAAAACTATATGGCGTCTTCCCCAAACCAATTGTTTTAATGCATCTTAAGTGTACTGAAGTTAAATCGTATTCCACAGGTAGACTTGTCCTCTCATGTCAAATTTAGAGTTACACACAGTAGTGAGTCAGCATTTAAGTTATGTAAATAATTTAGTTGTTCACCAGAAATAAATATTATTTCACCAAGTTCCTATCCTAAACCATCTTTTAAAAAGTATGATCTAGAGGAACATAAAAATAGGAACCATTCAAAGACTGCAAGTTGAAACAGCAGTGTTGAACATTCCTTGTATAGACTAAATATTTTAACTTACAAAAAACAGTAATTGTCCTATCTGGCTGACTTATGACAGCCAAACCAGAAAACATAAAAAGTGGTTGTTGGGTATTTTTTTTTTTTTTAACATTTTAAGAGGCAGTTCTTGGTAAACTTCATAAAAGGTTTAAAATTAAAAAAAAAGTTTAAATATAAAAAGGTGATGTACACTGAGCTACAGGCTAGTTGTTTAATCTATTTTGATTTATTTTTTAAACACAGCAATTTTCAGCACCAAAACCCATGATAATTACCTACAGGAATGAAACCCCCATTCACAGGCATGAGAAAAAATCCTGCTTCATTTGAATGTACTTTAAAGAAAGTTGGGGTTTTTTGTTTTTATGATTGCATATTAACAAACGAAGGTCTGAAAACCTGTAGTTAACATTGAGAAAGATAACAGACAGTGCTGTTTCCATTAGGAGAAATTTCATTCAAAATAGTTTGCTGTTCCTTTTCTTTCCTCAGCATGCTGTCTTTAATCATGCTCTAAAACAACTGCAGGTTTGGAGTGTTTGGCAGCCTTAATGAACAAAACAGTCTTAAAAGCTGAAAACTCCAAAGTAGTGAGATTTCCAACTGATACACTCAACCTTTCAAAAAAAAAAGTCAAACTATTAAAAATTCAGACTACTGTAGATATAGAAAAAAGTGGTTCAAGGTCTAAAATCTGACTACACTCCATCTTAATATAAATATTTTGTCTATTTATAATATAAAAGTTGAAAGTGATTTGCTGTCTGAACAGTGATAGAGTCTCTACTGTTTCCACAATAACTGATGCATACCCAGCAAAAAATTCAAGCCAGCACACAAAGTGGTACCTACCCAGTCTGGAATACTAACGGGATTCTTTCAGTAAGATTAAGTACCTTCTTTCTCAAAGACTTGGAAACTAATTCCTGTCCAGAGGGCAGCTGTTCTAAAAATTATAGTGGCTAAACCCTATGAATAAGTTAGGCAAATTATACTGTAAAATTTTAAAACCCAGATTCAGCTCAGTGGGAGTACTGGAGCTCAAAACCAAACCAAACCAACAAAAAAACCCCCAGTTTCATTTTGTTAGCCACATTACAGGACTTTATTGCAAAGAGAAGAAAAATATTCAACAACTACTACTTTGGACATTTCATATACCTACTTACAAACGGATTACAAATACAATTCAGGGTAGCACTATTTATTTTTATTTTTTTTTTAAACACACATCTCTGGGATTTCCAGATCCATCAGTTTTAAAAAGTTGTATCCTTTGTGTATCTGAATTCATTGGCCAGTTGCTGAAATTTTCTTTTTTGAATTGAAAGTTAAAATTTTAGCCCAAAATTCCAGTACTGTGTATGCAGTGGAATATCAAGTTAAATTTTAGGTTGCACTCATTTCACTATTATAAAATAGCAAAAGTGAACCATCACAGATACAGACAAATGGATAGACAGGCTCATCAGAATGAAGCAGAATGTTTTCACTCCACCAGACTGTACTGTGTGTAGAATCAAGAACAGGACAGATGGCATAATCCATTGCCAAAGTCTTTTTTGTAAACTTAGGTTTACTCTTATTACTGTACAATATTTAATTCTAAATTACCCGATAAACGGGCATTTAATCAGATAACAGTTAAACAGCCTTGTTCATATTGAACTCTTTAGTTCTGTGGTGTAGCGATCGCGGTGCCTTATGGCAGTTGTCGTAAGCACACTTCAGTATTCTTACACTGTACAAATAAATTCAGTTCCAATGCTCTATTCAGCATTCCAAAAGAAAACTGTAATGTAGAGTGCCGTTCTAATTCAGTGGGACACGTAGTGTTATGTGAAGTGATAAAAATGAAAGTATACTTAAACACTGTCGCACATTCCCTAAGACAATAAGATGTACACAAATTAAGCTAGAAAATTTGAACTAAGATTTTCTCAACGTACATTCAGCTTGGCACAGTGCAGACTAAATTTAAGACATGAAAGACAAACTGTGTAATGAGCAGAGCTACACTTTAAGTAACATGTCATTTTTCAAGACGCCAAAATTGCACTCTAGGTTGTTTTTTTGGGAATCAGTTAGCAGAATTTGTAGAAGGGGGAAGAGCTGTACAGGCCAGGTATAATTTATACATTTTCAAAAAATAATCCTACAGTCCCCAAAGGGAGAGATTATTGTCATGGAATGACTCCCTCTACATGATATCCAATCCTCCTCACGCTGCATTTACTTTTCAGCAACTGTAAGTGAGAAAAATAACAGTTAAGTGGTTGTACCTCATAAGCCAAAAAAGCCAAGTTAATTACATTTACAGTAGACCATATGCACTATTTACATAGCCTTTAAGAGCCCAATTCTTAGACCACTCAGATAAGTGCTAATAAAACATTTGCTTTAGAATAAGAAGTTACACAATGCAAAGCATTTAAGGAATGCTGTCTGTTACCAACAAATCTACAGCAGGATAATCTGACTGGGTATCCAATCTTGATTGCCTTAACGGAGTAAACACTATAACCACAAACCAATTATAACCCAGCTCCATTTCCCGTGACTATTGCTACTTTTCCAGGCCAGTGAGAACTGTCAGGATACAACCTATCAGCTGGTGCAGAGTTTTGACTTTGGTATTTTGGGAAGATGAAATAGGAATGAAGAGATCATTTGGTCTTAATCATCCTAAAAGTTTGATTTCTGTAGGGAAGTAACAGTTTGCCATCTCTGCATTTCTTTAATGTTTCCAGAATAATTTGTTAAATGGCAGTCTCCGAATGTAAAATCACGTTCCAACTGTACCAAAAGTTCTTCTCTAACCAGAAGTTGAGATGCTTAGTATCTGTATTAATCCTCAAAAAAATTATAACAGACATTACTACAGAGAAAAATAATACTGGCTACCTGAGTATTCACAAGCTCAGAACAAGTTAATATTTAATAGTAAAATAAAGTTCAAGAAAGTTTTGTTCCTTTACTTCCGTAAGGGACAGGTTCTTCCAAAAACAAAGACAGGAAAGTTGGAATGAATTATGACCACTCTCCTGCCTTTAAGTGCTAGACTCTGCTTGGTTCTACAGCAATAGGTAACACGCTAACATTAGAATTATACGAAAGCTTTACAACTGCTTAAGGGGTTGTGTAAACATACTGGGGGGGGGTTGTTTGTTAAAAAGGTGTTCTAGCCAATACGCAGCAATTTTCCACTCCTTCATGATTTATCTACAAATAGTCCAAAAGTCAAAGTGCTAAGTCTCCTTTTTAAATTCTCCACAACCAACAGTGAAAGCTCTTCTCCAGAGCAAGATGCAAGCTCATAATTTATTTACTTATTGCTGAATATATTAACTATTATAAGTACTCTTAAGGAAGTATGAAACTAAATAGGCTTTCTTCAGTTAGAATTCCAGACATCAGAGCATGTGCAAACTCTAGTAGGCATCTAAAATAAATTGGGTCAATTGTGCCTTGAAATGTCTCTACATTGGACAGCTGAGATAGCAACTGGGGACTACAAAAGCAATCTATCTGAAGATTAATCTCACCACAGCAACATAATCAAGAATCCAAGAATTGCCAGGTCCTTGTTCATTCAAGGTAAATGTTATTCAAAGTTACAGCACATATCACTGCAACCTCTGATTTCCTAAGAGACAGTACCGAACATTACCAGCTACCCTAACTAGTGCTGCATTCTGATTTTCTTCTCTAAATTGGAGAGAAAGCTTTGTTTCTTTTTATTAGCTCGCTGACTTCTCAAATGGAAACAAGATTAATGTAAGCTGCTCTGAAGCCCCTCAAAAGAGAAGCACCCAGGCACCAAGCACCACACAATCATTTTAGAAGTATTTTCAAACTGAACATGCAGATAACTTTAACTAAGGGAATGGCTAGAAGACATTTATGCGAACGCTCAAAAGTGAAGATGATGACAAAGAATGCAGCAAAGCATTCCTGTTAGGTGACCAACAGACCAACTATAATGCAGATGTTAATTAAAAAAGAGATGTGATTCTGTAAGCAACTGAAGCACATTAAGTACCAGACTACAAGTAATTACTGAGGACATTAGAGACATTTTCAAATAAGTGCACATATTAATTTCAGTTACTGTAAGTGTATTTTAACTAGCCTAACATTTTAAATTTACCGTACGGAGACATTAATTTTTCTGTTAAATACTTCCAAATTACAAACACATGAAGCAGCATGCATTTGTAGTAAGAACAGCAAATAAACAACATAAGAATAAGGTCATTTTTTATTTCATCACTGAATGTTTTCTGAAGAAAACCATATTTAAAGAGATACTAGCAAGCCAAACAAATTTAAACTGCCCACTTCTTTCCCAAACAGTAGCTATTGGCTGTGACTGGTAACTATCTCCAATTGACTGTTTTCACATTTTGTTCCTACTCCAGCAGAACAACTCCATAACTATCATTTTACAACAAACACCAGTTTTATAACAAAATCAGCAGCAGGATTAGTCAGATGTACATGTATACTGTTCCTCTAAGTATAAAATTCTGTAAGAAAAGAAGCTAATCTGATAATTTGGTTGATTTTATGCCACAGAAGGAACTGTAATAAAACTAATATGAAGGGGTTTAATCATATATTTAAAAATCCTACAAGACAAACTTACACTTTGTCTTGCCGTCCTCCACCTCCACGCAGTGCAACTGGCTGGCTGTTTTGAGTAAACGCACCTCCACCACGAATTGCACTTGGATGAGTTGGAGAAGCTGCTGGATGCTGGCCAGGACGGATCGGCTTAGCTGCATGAAAAGAAACATGACTTAAATATATACACCACAATTTTACCTTGATTATTCAAATTTACTAATGCTTTATCTTACAGTATCCCAAATGTAATAATAAAAATTGAATGTACTTTGAATATTAAAACAAGTTTAGGAGACGGTATTTTGAGAACTTAACAGATTAGTATCAACTATAACAAGTCCTGAAAAACAGAAAAAGTGTTGCTTTTACTGTCCCTATTAGAATTAAAGCCAGCAAAGCTTTTGATAATGATTATCTTCACATGTATTATCTGCCCCACGTAATGTATTTCCCTGTAAGTGTCCTACTTCTGGGCAATAAGGAGTCAAATAAGGTACATCATTAGATGAAGTTTCATGAGGGTTATGTTCCTGTAGGTAATCATTATACCCTGCTGTATTTCCCACATCTACTTGATTGGTAAGCCACTAGTTACTCTGCTCTGCAAATGGTTCTGGGTACCAATTAGTCCACAGGTAACATTGTTTCGTCAACTTCTTACCACCACATAAAAATAAAACTTGCTCTACTACCAAATTCAAAACCAGTAGTTTTGACAGGTAGTTCACAAGCTGCATAGACTTTGATAAACGAACTACATTTTCAATCAGTTTTGCACTAGCTCTTAACAGGACATGCACAACAGTATGAGTTTACAAAGTGCTGTAATATTAAGCAGAAACATTTAAAGTTTCAGCAGGTAAGAGGGGATATAAAGTACCTACAAGCTGCAACTGCATCACAAAGACAATTCTCAAGTTCTGCCTTAAAGGATCTTAAGTGATCTCCAGTAAGACATGCCTAGTTTAACTAGATGTTTAATTACAACAGGCTTTATACTTGTGCAAAGCTCACTAGAGAATTCTGTTTGTCTTCTTTGAGACTACTTGAGAGAAATATAAGACAGGAAAGCACCTGTCTTCAGGCTACCACTCGAAATGACCAAGAAAAAAAATTAGGACTTCATTCCTCAACAGCTCTTTGCAGACCTTTGCAGAATGAGTGAAATTTAACTGCACCACTCATTTCAGGTGCATTCACATTTAACAGAAGTGTATTGATTACTGAAGTCCTGACACAGGACAAGAAGGCTGGAACAAACAGATACTGCTACAACAATGTAATAGGCACAGTTAAGTCTTCCACCAGTCACACATCCTCTTGGCCCTCAGCACTTTACAGCATGATGGCAGGTGGAGGACCAAGGGAATACGACTGCCTTCCCACCACACAGTAAGAAACACTACTAGCTACTACAGACTTTTGGGTTTTCCGTTCTTTTCCCCTAGGGAGTGGCTGTGGGGTACTGAATGCTTTGGAACAAAGACCCAAAAAGGCAATTAGGGATCTTCGGATGTTAGTTGTGGATTTCTGTCTGCCTCCTCCCACAAGATCAAGAGACAGCAAGACAATTTTGTTGTTGTTTAACATGATGGCTTAATCTCTCCCCTTAACTTTGGAATACCTAGTCTTAGAAATTCTTATGGAATCATGTTGAAGACCTAAGACTCACATCCAGTGTATTGTTTTGTTCTAGGAAATGGCACACACATTCAGGCTAGAATTCTAGGTGGGTAAGCCTTTCCCAGCATGCACGAAAATCCAGCTACCAGAAAGAGACCCATTAAAAACAAACAAACAACCACCCCAACCAACCATACACACTCACAGTCTATTAACCAAAATATAACTCATGGTAGAAAATACACCTTGTTCCTGCACGCAGTTCCAAGATACATACATGCACAGAGATATCAGGAGACAGATGAAGCTTTACAGGGCAAGGGATTCTCTACTAACCAATTTGCGCAGAATGTCCTCTTCTGGCCATATTCTTGGATCTTACAGCTTCCTTTATACGGTCTACTTCTTGCTGATACCGTTTGCGATCACGAGAAGCATTCTCTTTGGCTTCCTTCAGTGCAGACTCCAAAGCTTTAACTCGTTCCGCTGTAGCTCTAAGTCGCTTCTCCAGTTTAGGAAGTTCACAGCGGAGATCTGCGTTATCGCGTACCAGCTACAAAACCAGAATCGATTATTTTCTTGGTATGTCTCTTCATGGGGAGAGCCAACCAACACCCTCATGCCCCTCAACAGACAAAGTAGGGCTGGTATATTATCTTTGCTTAAGCTTTTAGTAACTCTAATAGCTCATCAGTAAAATAGTTATTTGCAAATCAGTTACTGTGGAAGAACATGCTACCCAACATAGGCATTTAAAGTCTACATTCTTTTTCAGTCAGAGAGAGACAGGCAAGCATCCCCCAGGCTGATATACTAACTCTAAACACTAACTTGGATGTTCTTCAGTTTAAATGCAGCTGTTTTGTTACATACCCACATGCACTTAAAAAAGCTATTAATTTACTTTCTAGGAAAACTTTAGTCTATTGTTTTGTATCAAGAGACACACTCAAGATGGAGAAGTATTAAACTATAAAACAGTTACTTTATGACCAAATATGCATTCCGTCGCTTCTAAAATAATGCACCTTAAGTAGTTTGTTTTTAATTAAAACTTGAAATTAAGCATCATTGTACCTGCTTGTGAACTTTTGTAAGCTGTTCAAGATTATTCTCAAGGAAGGAAATCTTCTGTTTTTGTGCAGCACTGCCCCCTGTATCATCCGAGTCAATCTCGGCACTCTGCAGTAACAAAAGCACAGGGAGGGAGAGAGGAGGCTGAGTACAAATCTGAACTTGTGTATTACAATCAAGCCAGAAAAATGACACCACATAAAGATCAATACCTAATTTAGTTCTACACTGAAATTTATGTAGCATTCTCAGAAACACCAAGTTTCACTACAGCACCACGTTACCTTTTTCACTCTAGTAGCCAGATCTTGAACAAACAGCTTCCGAAGATTGTGAAGAGTCTGAAGTTCTTTTGCCTACAGTTAAGGACAAGGAATTAAAAAAAAAATTAATTAAAAAGCCCCAAATCACTCGGGGGTGTGGAGGGAAACAAGCATTGACATTTGGAACATATTCTGATTATCTTACCACAGTCTCTTCCAAACCCTTTAAATCTTGCCTCGCTTGTTCCCGTCTGTCCTGCATAACCCTAAAAGAGAATAAATTCAGCCTGAAACATCTGAGCAAAATTGGAAATTTTAGTATTTTAGGAGATTAAAGTGATAAACACTATACAGTACGAATTAAAAATGTTTTTCAGTTGAAGTCCTCAATTAATGATATAACGAACAGATGAAACCACACTTAGAAATCCACATGGGGTGGGGGTTGGGAGTGGGGAGGATAAGATGGAAGTACTTTTAATATTGAAGGAGTACAGGCAAGTACATTCAGATGCATAAATTGTAAGTTTCTCAAACAGAACCATAGAATCATTTAGGTTCGAAGACCTTTAAGATCATCAAGTCCAACCGTTAATCTACCCCTGCCAAGTCTACCACTAGACCATGTCCCTAAACAAAGGCTCTCTGAGTCAGGCTCATTATGAATCCTTGGGGAGATGATGAGTTCTTATCTCTGACCAGCTGAGATGATAGATTAAGGATTTTTTTTTTTTGTTGTTCTATCGCCTCACCCCGAACACATTTGCCAAAGCTGGCATCATAAACAACAATCTCAGTTTACAGGAATATAACCTACTGATTATCACTTTATAGAGCTTCTGTCTTCCTATTTAACGTGAAAGCATTTACTGCACTGCTAACATTCTCTCTCAGAATTATAAGGCAACGCAATTACTAAGATGACAGGATACAGGAAGAGTATTTGGACTTGCTAAATGAATAAACATTTGAAGTAATATTTTAAAGAATATCTCAGCATCCTATCCATTTTCCAAGCCACAGTGGAAAAGTATTTCCAGGCATCTCTAGACAATGCCAAGTAAAAAAAAAAAGTGAATAATCTGCATTGTTTCTGGTCTGTCATTTGCCATGCACGTTTATGACATACAATGGAAAATAACTGGATTCAAAAAGGCTGGGGGAGGACACAGAATACCAAACTAATTTTTAATGTTTCTTTGCAAGTCTTTTGAAGAGGGAAGTTTCTAATACAGCAAGTGCCTTTAAGGGATCAATGCTATACACAGCATATACATAGCCTGCAAACTAAAATAAGAAGCAATATGTGCTATGTAATATGTCAAATGCTATAAGACAAGAAAACCTACTGTAACTAATGTAACTTTTGTTATCATTTTGGCATATAAATAAACCAGAATAAGATGCATTCACAGGAGCAGAGTCCTGTTAAAATTTTAGTCAGTTAAACCAACATTGTATTTCACAGGAAGGCTAAAAGAAAAAAAAGTGTTGCTTATTGGCTACTAGTACAGACCAATCAGGTCTCTCTGATTATTTCAAATACTATGATAAAAACCTGAAAGCCACTATGTGGTTTTAAACGTGGCCAAAAAGCACGCACTTTTTCAAAAGTTAAGTATAATGTAGTTTTAACTTCTGTAAAGAAATTCATATATGCTCAAAAGGGGTCGCTACTGATACTTGTGTAAGTAAATTCGCATATGCTCGAAAGGGGTCACTACTGATACCCTAGAAACGTTTCCAGCTGATTATGGTTAGATTTCTAGAAGTTGAGAACTGTTTTTCAGCTTGACCCTTGGATACTTACCTGGTAGCAGAATTCAATTCTAATTATTACATTAACTTTTCAGTTTCTAATTCACTAATACACTCTATTTAATTACTCAATGAAGTATGTAGCAGCTTAATCTCAAGAATAAGCCAGTTAGAACCACCCTAACTAGTAAAATCACACAAGAACAAAAAAAATAAATAAATAAGGGAACAGAAGAAGCGGAAAAAAAAGATTAAGGGGACAGAAGTAAAAAAAAAAAAAAAGGGAACTGTTACAAGCCTCTTCCAGTCTTGGAGCATGCAATACTTAGCTGCCAATTGAAAAGTAAATTATTCCAACTTTCAGCATCTTAAGAAAGAAAAGGTTTTGGCCTTCTTATCTTACATCATTTTACTTCCAATTTTAAATATTAAGGCAGTGCAAAGGTTTCAAAAAAGTTAACTTCAAGAGGGCTCTGGAGCCTTTCTCTTTAATAAGTATATCATTCATACAATAAGAGCCACTTCATCATATTAGGTCACTAGTTTTTTAAATGTAAGTGTTCCCACACAGATTTGTTTTATGCACGACTATCACTTACGTAAGTTCATGTAGTTTTCTACTTTTTTCCTGATCAGTTGCTTTCAACTTCTCATGCTCAACTCTAAGACGTTCCTGTTCAAGCATCATCTTCTGGTTTTGGCTGAACACAGAAAAAAAAATACTACATCAACTGAACCGGTCAGACAATATTTGGTAAAGCAACACAAGTTAGAAAGACACTGCTCGAGGAAACCCTTGCCACTTCCTTCCCACCGTACTATGCTTCTGTACTCAACTGTACTTCTGTACAATCCAGAGACATTTGGCACTAACAAAATAATGACAATTGCTTACTCTTGAAGTTCAGTGATAAGTTTCTCCTTTGCATCAACTTCATCTCTTAGGCTACTGATTTGTTTCTGATGTGTCTCACGATGACTCTGAATTTGCTGTTCCACAGCTTGCTGTTAGAAAAAACAGTATGTATTATATGCTTTAAGAAGTTGCCATACTTCACTTTAGTTTTCAAAACAACCAATGAAATTAACTTACCTTGACTTCATTTGCAGTTTGAACCTTATTTAAGTGCTCTTTCTCCATCTCATGGACTTTTTCTAGTAGGGACAGAAGAGAGAAAAGAAAACACTTTTCAGCCAGGTAATTAAGCAACCACAGGGAAGATGGTGTTAATTTCTCCTTTCCCCCGCAACACCTTAAAATTTGGAAAATGTCTCCTCTCATCACAAAGATCAACTAAATCAGTAACATCTTCAACTTAATCCTATCTGTAGCAGTTCTTTCAAACAACAAACACGCTTTCCCATTGACTAATTCTGCATGTTCCGTAACAAAAGCCATTCTATAGCTCTGCCCTTCAATCTGAATAGAAGAGAACACTTTCCTATTTATTACTATATACTTAAAACGGTGGTGGGTGGGGTGTAGGGAGGCAATTCCTACCCTGTGCTCGGAGTTGAACTAATTCTTCATTAAGGGAATCCACAGACTCCTCCAGTTGCCTTTTCTTCTGTTCCACATTCTGAAGATATTCAGTCAATGACTTGATCTTGGCTTCATGCTTGTAGAATGGAAAGATTCATTTACTTTGGAATTAGGAATCACAGAATTACATCTGCATAAATAGTTTATACTTATTTTTAAACAAGTAACCTGATCTCAAAAGAAAAATGGTCCCGACTAAACTTTAAGAAGAATATGAGTACTCAAGTAGATCTGTAATGTAGCCTGTAAGACAATGTCTTTATTCTGGATTGGAATGAAATAAATTTTTGGCTGGGAGAAGAGATGTTTTGAATGTTCAATACTATCAGGGGCAAGAGAGTCCTGCTCTATTTACAAGACTGCACTGAAATACGCATCTCCTGATTTAAGAGAGATGACCATCTGTATGTAAAACAAAATACAGAAAAATTAAATCGTGTATGTAGATCACAATTTTCAGTTTTAGAAGTCACACTACTGATCTTTTCTAACAATGGCATTAAAATGGCCTTTCTCACATTAGAAGTAAATTTAATCTGCTATGCAAGCATACTGTAATCTTCCTATGCCATTGCTACCTCTCCCACTTCCCACTTGCTGCATTAGTAGGCAGAGTTCTCACTAGCCACTGCTTCTGTAAGACACATATTTGTAAAGGATCCTGTGATGGAGAACATATGGACCCTAGTATTTAATACAAATGTTACCAAAGCAGTAGCAGGCTACAGACACATTGCAGAAATTCTGACATCCTGTCACACAATTACCAAGAAGCATCCAAACTGAGAAGAGTTTTGAGGATACAGCTGAATCTTGTGGCTGTTCAATCACAATGTACTTTGTTAGGTGCCAAGAAGAAATTGCAACTTCCCCCACCCAGCAGGTTAATGAATTCAAAAGAACATTTAAGAAGTACAGTGTAAAGAAACACTTACCTGTGAGATACGGAGCTGGCAGGCAGCCAACTCCTTTTCGTTTTCCTCCATTTTCTTATTGCTTTCTGCTTGTGTGCCTTCTAACTGTTTGCAACGTTTCACCATTGTTTTTACTTCTGATTTCATTTTACTAATGTACAGTCTTGCAACCGTGAATTCTTCATCTATCATGCCAGTTCCCTCAGGCTGCTGAAAAGTATGGTATGACACATTTAGAAAGCTCAGATAATAAAAGAGAATTAAAGATGAGCTGGAGCAAAACCTAGTGCCCGGCACACATCCCCTGCCTCGACTGATAATCAGAGCATTTACACACCAAAATGTAACTTTTAACTTTTCTAACTGATTATTTAGAAGTTTACACAAAGGTAATGAGTCACTTGAAGAGGGAAATACAGTTCGCTATAGATTTTTAACACTGCTCACATCCTTGTCCTACAGTGATCTTCTAGATTTATCTTTTCAGTTCCTCATTCCATTTTTAATAAGTAACATCTTAATTGCCACTGTAGGTCAGCATTAGATTGAGGGTGCTGTTGACTATGACCATTTCAAATGGCAGTTTAACAGTGAGAATGAAAACACTACTTCAGGGGGGAAAAAAAAAAACCATACCTGCTCTTCCTTAACTTTGCACAATAAAGTTCTGTTTGGGACCTGATAAGTCACAGCATAAGCAAGGGATAAGCTTATGCCCAAATTATTAATATAAATGAGGCTTGCTATGGTGGTTCTTTTTACCGTACTAAGAAAACTGACCCCATGTATTCACAATGTATGTGCCTAATACATGGCATTAAAAATTGCGATAATTCTTACCTTGACATCATTATTTCCTACTGCGATTCCTATCTCTGCAAGATCTTTTAGTAAGGAGGCCATCATCTCTGTCGCTCGTTTCTTCTGATGGTTGGTCATTTCTTTAAGTTTCTGAAGCTCAGCATCTATACTGGCTAGAGTGACCTACAGCAAAAGAAGTTTTAATAAACAAAAAAAATATCTTGTTTTTAGAACTACTTTCATATTATTTATTTAAATACTACAATATGTTGTTGCCTACTGAAACATCCCATTTTTATGTCTAAAACTAGATTGGTATCAACCTACGTGAATACATCATAGAGTAAAAATTTAGAAGCCCGAGAGTGATGGTATTTCTTCTGAAAAAAAAAAAAAGTAAGTACTGGGGAGAGAGGCCTTCAGCTCACAAAAACATAATCTTTCAATTCTGCAACAAAATTCACGTCAACATTGTTAAACAGCACTCAGAGTTATAGACGGTTAAATATTGCAGAGGATTGCATTTATAGGAAAAGGGTATATAGACGACAAGTCAAACCTTTTCACCATATTTTGGTAAAGGAAAATAATTTCATCTTTACCTGTACAGCTCTTAAATCTTTCCTACTTGCAAATCAAAAAATGGCACCCAGTTTGGAAAGTTCATAAGTGCTACACTTACTCTAGAGCAGTTTTTCAGCTAGTTTGAGCTTCTGTGCTTGTAATAGCTGCAGCTCAGCAGCTTGCATACTCAGAAGTTGTCTGCTCTCTGTTCTTCAGTTTTTAAAAAATGCCAGAAGTTTTACAGCAGGAAAGTTTGAGCCAGTGGTGCCAAAGGATGGTTACTGCATGGGTTAGCTGTGACAGACCGAGAACAGCGAAATGCCTTAATTTTGCTATGTATAACAGTTGTTGCTTTCTCCTGGACTGAGAGGACTCTTAACAGATGTTAGTTATAATATTTAGAATCACTTGGTTAACTATAAACTAATATAAAATATGTATAAACAACAAAACAAAAAGACAACAAAAAAAACCCCACATACACTTCAGAATCATACACACATACAGCTAGCCTATTCCACCAATTTTTTAATGCTGCTCATAATAGGAAGACCAGAGATCATCCAACTTTCAGCTGACCTTGAAGTGATATAAGTTACCAATAAAGATTACTCAGAATACTTAGAAGTTTAAAGAGAGGTTTCATGATCTTGTGAACATCAATTTTAACGCCAGTGTTGTATCTAGTCAAATCTCACTAACTGAAAATTGAAAGCCACATTCACTAGAAGACCTTGACCCACTCAATTTTCAAGACTAGAAGAATGAGACTTGCACCATCACATATTCTGTCTGCAATGCCAGCAAATAAGCCAATCCTTTCTAGTACTTAGGATTTTAAGATAGGTGGAGGATTAACTGTTTAAAACTGATTGAAGTCTGTCAAATAATTGGCTACCAAAACTGCCAGTCCAGTCAGAAACTATGCGGGTATGTGAGGAGGCATATGGTATTCATCCTGCAGGATGGATGCTGCATCTGTTTTTTAACTAGAGCGATCTTTTGGAATTTGTCCTCAGTGCTGAAGGCTACTCCTTTCAGAAAGTAAAATCAACTGCCTATTTTTGAAGGCATCAAGGTAAGTTATATTTTACGTGCCATAAATACACCATGCAAATACATATTCCTTTCAAGAAAAGCTGTAGCATGCTCACTGCAATTTCAAGATTGGAAGGAGCAATTCTTAAGTGAGGATTACCCCAACTGCACCAGAGAGACAAAAAAAACTGAGTCAGATCACCAGCATGTAATTAAAGTGGTAGCTTCTGATATCTAGGATTTCTCGGAATACTCTTCAGGTAGTAAAACGCCATAGGTTCTAAAAAGTTGACAGCGATCAAGGTCAATATCCACTGTGCACTTTTCTGGAGCTTACTAGTTTTAGGAAACCATCCTTTGCTAAAACTAAAAAAGTTTTAGACTTAAGCTCCCATTTCCCCTTAAATGACTTCAAGCAAGAAATACAGGTAAGACAAGAAAAGTTACATTGAAGACTGTCAGTAATTTCTTATCCCAATTTCTTACCGATTTCTGATTGAGTTCATCACTAAGCAGTTCGTATTCCTTTGCCTTATCTTCTACTTCCTGAGACTTCTGATCATAATTGACAGCTAATTCTTCAAGGGCTTGTAGCACCTCTTTCACTTCCTCTTTAGAGGCATCATTTTCAGCCTGAAGGCGATTCAATTCTGCTTGAAGGTTGTCTTGGTCCCGTCTGGTTGATGCTAGAAGCTACAGCATTGATAGAGATTTATTGAAAATTATAACAAATAAATATCAAGAAAATTCCATGTATAAGTTGATTCTTATTAAAGCTTTTAGCTACTACAATAGCTTATATAAACGTTTTTAGTGTCTAGCATCATGCAATAAGGATGCTGAGGACAGGTACAGTGAGAATATAACGAACAATTAAATTTATCATCTATATCCATAGGTCTTTAGCTTTTAATGTATTTTTAAAATGGAAGTGATTGCAAATCAAGACACATAAGGACAGCAACTGGAAATGCACATGGGATATTTCAGGTTCTCAAAAAAGCCACTGAACATTACTCATGAGTCTGAAATTGTCAACAGTCTAGGGACTAAGCTTCCAGCATTTTCACACTGTTAGCTGCTGAAGAATAACTAAACGAAGTGAACAGTTGCTAAAGAGGCAGTTTATTGAAGTAAGATCAAACAGTAGCTGCAAATTCCCGAGTCCTTGACCCACTTCTTTCTTCCCATGTACACAAAGATTATTATTTTTCGAATCTTTGTGCTATATAGAATTGTTTTCTCTTATACCTTGACTAAATGAAATTAACAATTTCATTATTAATAGGTATTTTCCCCATTTAATTAAGGTACATCACCAGCAACATGTGCACACAAATCATTTGAATATTCTAGTAAGTATGGTCTGAAGTAACCCATAGATCCTTCCTTTTTCATTATGGGCCATTACATTTCCCTCCCCCTCCTTCTCTCTCTGTAAAGCAACTGATCAAAAGTAAACCTTAAAACAGATTTCTTAGAGTAAATCAAGGTATCTTCAGATTTTACAAACTGCTAACTTTGCATGGGGAAAACTGCCAATGTCTTTGCATAAGATATTTCAATTCCTTCACTCTTAACGGACATTGAAGGTTCAAGTAAACTGTTTTAAGTTTAGCCATTAGCTCAGTGTAAGTGGGAGAGGAATGAATAGGGAGAGCATGTAGATAAGGAATAAAAGAACTATTGTACAGTAGTAAGCTGCCATTCTACTCCCTGGTCATAAACTGTGACCTATTCAGAACATCTCAAATTTCTTTCCTGTAAAAGACAAACAAAAATAGAATAAAGATGCAAGAGCAAACCTCACCTCTTCCTGATCCAACATTTGTGTTTTCAGTTTTTCTACTAGTTGGCTCTGCTGATTAATTTCTTCATCCTGCAGTTGAAGTAAGACTGCGTTCAATAAACTGACAAATACCATTCCAGAAAAATAATTTAAGAGACAGTAGATGTTAGACATCTAACTTTTCCATATTCTGAGACAACTATATAAAAATCAAAGCAATAAAAATAAAAATAATCCTTTTAATTTCACTGGCTGATCCATTACGCTTTTAACCTGGCACGTATGTGTAAAACACCATGCTTTGAAGACAAAACTCTTAGACCTGTGCTTTTGCAAGTCTTCTCCACGTTGTTCTAACTTCCAAGAAACAATTCGGATTTAATGAAAAGATTTTTTTCTCCTCTCCAAATGTAGTACTACTGCTTAAACTTAAAATTATGTTCAAATAAAATATGCATGACATGGAAGGTAACAACTGCTGTCTTCAAGTTACTCACTTTCTTGCTTTCTAATTATTTTCCTTCTGGTAGAGCATTATTACAAACAATCAGCTAGGAATGTGCTACCCCCAGAAAGTAGAAATACCATTCAAAATTCTCATTAATTTTTCCTTCCTAACTTTCATTTTTATCTTGTTTTCTATGTACTGATACTTTAGTTTTCGGGACATTTTTTAGTAGTTTCAACAAAGGAAGCAGAGCAACTAAGAAAGGAAGCTCACTTAGGACCAGATAAGGCAATCTTGACTTTGTTAATCAGAGATTCAGAATTAGAGTAGGCACTCCCAGAAAATATTTAAGCAAGCTATACTAACAAATGAAGACTGACAAATTCAATATTACATAATATAGTTCAAGATGTATTTCCAAGAGGTCTTACATTAAATAAGAATGGCATACCTTGTCATCCAGTTGTTTGTATAGTTTGGCAATTTCTTCCTCACATTTTCTTCTCTCCGCATCAGTGAAATTGCCAGTTACTCCAATTGTGGTAGCTGGTTTATCATTAATAACAGTAATATCCTTGTCCACTGCAAAAGCTTCTAAGTTGGCCTTCTCCTTGTCAAACTGTTCATCAACTGGTACAGTCTCCCCTTAAAGAAAAGAATATACTTAGTTTAAGTACTGTCAGCATGAAGTATTTTCCACAAACAGCCTTGAGAAGTATTACATACTCCTTACTAACAGTACTGCTCCACAGTTAGTAAGCAATTTCACATGATTACATGGTAAAAAAAATGACCACTAGATCATTCAAACTCTCTCCTGCTTACCACAGAACATTATATTTCATCCAGTTACTCTGCTATGAGCTCCAAATCTCACATCAAACTATATCTTCTAGAATAGCACCTAACTTGTCCCAAAGACAGAAAATCCTTTCTTTTCCCTTGGCAGTCTGTTTTGCTAGGCAGCCATATTTACTTTTAAATTGCTTTGCTTCTAATTTAATATATTTGTTCAGTTACACTTTTATCCTTTTATGTCCATTAAGCCTTTTTGGATAAGAACACTTACCTAACTTTGCATAGAAAAAATACCACACACACTAATCAAGGCACTTTCCTGGTAAACTAAACTAAATTCCTTAGGCACCTTATTACAACATTTTATGCAGTCCTTGGATGGTATGGGCTCTTTTCAACACTCCAGTACCTTGTGTCAATATTCTGGAAGAACTATACTTAACATTTCAGGTGTGGCCTCATACCATCTCTAGAAAAGATTTAAAAATAGAAAAAATTAAAAAAACATATTGCACTGAGCTTACTTAAGCAAGCCCATTTTTCTTAGGTTTACACCAGGATGAGGTGCAGCTGCCTACAAGATTGCAAAACCGTCTTCTGTAGCTGCCAAACTCCAGAATACATCTGTAAGTATGACCTATGTTCCTCCATTCCTGAATTTAAGGCTTCATATTTAACTTGCATTTTGCCAGACTCTTCAATAGATAAGATGTCAGTTATTCAGGAAGAAAAAACGGGAACTCATTTCGTACTGTCAGCAATACTGGTTTTGGGGTGAGTTTTTTATCTATTAACACGTTTGAGTTTCAAACAAAGATAAGGTCTTGTGATAATGATTTGAATTAGAAAACCAAACCAGAGGAAACTTTACTCAGTTTCTGCATTTACAATTAATATCATTTTCTTCTCCCCCAAAATAAAATTTTTAGACTGTAACTCCAGTTCTGTAGCAAACGAAGCATTGAACAACCTAATACCAATATACTTCCAGACATTTTTGCCATTATGTGATTATTAGAAGTTGTTCCAGTTGCAACACAGTGAAAAATATGAAGCTCCTATGTCAACTTATTATCCTAGCTTTAATATTCCTACTACTGTCTTGCATAGGTCTTAGTTATTTTTTGTATCCTGAATACTAATTCAGTGTCTATCGTCTTGCCTAAAGTTTGCAGAACAAAAATATAACTGCTTCTCACCATTCCGCCATCTGTTGAGTTCATTCTCTAGCCACTGTATGGTGTTACGCAAAGTCTTGTTTTTCTCTTTTTCCTTCTCATATTTTTTCTTCCATTGTTCTGCAGTGAGCTCCACGTTGACACAGACTGTGTTCTTAATGGTCTTAGCTCTACATAGAAAGAGCAAAAAGCTCTGAAACTTTTTTTTTTAAGAAAAGAATTAAAGGCTCTTAAATGAAATGTCTCCGTATCACTGGTGAAAGCATAAACAATCCCACCTCTTACAAAAGCTTATTTCAACTCCCTGCCAACTTACTAGTCTTTCAATTGGATTGATACAACTGTTAATGGACAGAGCAATACAATAAACTTTGGAAAGGCTGAAAAATCTCAAGCTGGTTGAGTTGGAAAAATTCAGGTGCATACTTTCACCTGAAACAATTTGAATCAGGACAGTGCACATCTTTGTTCAAAGGGTATCATTCACCACAGCTGGCAAACATTTCTCCAATGGAGAGTATAACACTTCGAGGGTGTAAAAGATCAAGCTTATTTAACAAACAGCCCATTTTAACTGAAAATCCAGTTGTTGGATGTCCATTAACCAAAAAGGTGAACGAGCTACAAAGTTCAGACTGATTGCCTACATTCAGTTCAGGTGCCCCTCGCTTACCCCAATAATTCTTCTCCCACTACCAAATCCCGCCCCCCCCAAGCCCCAAAGATGAAAACAGGAAAAAGTTTAGTGGTATATACAAATTCCTTCTCCCCCCCCCCCTTATGACTCCTATAAGCATCTTTCTGCAAAGTCTTACTGGGACTGATTACTACCAAAAGGTACATGATTTCCTACTAAGTTATGGGATACTTATCTAGCCTTCAGTTACTACAGCTGAGGGTTTCAACATAAATTTAACACCTCTAGAAGGTTGAATTAATATACCAGACCAAGTATGGTAGCTGAGAGAGAAGCACAATCTAGTAACTCCTGAAGAAGTCAAGAGCATGAGGCAGTGAAACTAGAGCTACAGCTGGAAGACACTTCCCAATAGCTCATTCAAGAATTACTAATAGGAAAGGAGCGCCTAGATTCTGAAAGAAGACCAAAAAAACCTCCACTGCTGCAGAATGCAGTCATTACTCCACACCCACTAATGATCAATATTCTGCCAGGGTTTTAAGGAGTTCTGGAGTCATTTAGTCTACTTTCCATAATAAAAATCTTCTCTGAAAAGACCAGTAGAAAACTATCTTGTTGAATTAAAGCAGAAAAAGTAGGCTAACAGAAGACCAGGTGAACTAAGTGAAATGCTGACAGCATTTGCAATGTGCTCCAATAAATGAAGTGATTAAATCTAGTGGTCAGGAACTAGAGTATTACAATGAAACATTAATAACAGAGTGGCAAAGAAGTGATACCTAACAAAATATCAAATTTGAAATAGGTACTTATAAATTCAATTACAAATGACACAGGAATTTAGAAGTATTAACTCAAATGTTACTGGAATGCTAGATACAGGAAACAGACCAAAAGATGTAATTTAGCATGCTGTCGAAAAAGGTTGGCAAAGGACAGGCTCTCCCAGCACATAAAGGATTCAACTTAACAGGGGAAAATTCATTCCTCCCTCCTTCCACATTAAAGAAAAAAGAAAGAGTATTAATTGCCTTCCAAGACTGTACATTAAACTGAATTTTGAACCAAACTATACGCTGTCTTCCTGGAAATAGACAGTCTTTAGGTTCCTACCCAATTTAAGTATTTTTATATAGATAAGACATCACAACATTTAGCCACATGTGCAATGAAGAATTACAGAAAGTAAACATTGTAATTAGTTTGGTGCAGGAATCTTAATAAAGTAACTTACTTCTCATTCTGCATTTATTTCTGAGCATAGCAAGAGCACAATACTAAGTCATTTACTCACCTTTGGCCAAAGAGAAGAGTAGATTTAGTTTCAGACTCATTGTATGAAGATGGAGAACAGCAAATAACAATAGTGGTTCTGCAATTACCCCCTAATGAATCTTGAAGGATTCTGGTCATTTTGCTGTCACGATATGGAACGTAAGTCTACCAAGAAAGTGGTTAAATGAATCAGTCACAGCTTGTCAGACACATTATCTAATTTATTGAAATAAGAGCTATGCTTTTGCTAGGTATAGCTTCATTAGAAAGACATTAAGTTCTACTTTAATTCATAAAGCATAAGACAACACGCATGGGATAACACAAAATTGTACTTCTACGTTTGGTAACTTCTAGAGTACAAGAAAACTATTAGTATGATGCTTACGTCCCTCAACATTAAATGTAACTTTATTAATCACCAGTATCAACATCAATACAGTACAAAAATAACAGCCATTTGCAATGCATTGATGCAATTTGATTAGTTTAAAAGACTCCATTCACTGAGATCAGTAAAGAATTTCTGCATATCATGTTCAGAGATGCAAGCCTTTAACCCCGAAGTATAAAAATACAGAACACTTACACTGCTTTCAGCCAAAGCTGAGATGACGTTTCCAAGAGCAGACAAAGACTTGTTGATGTTCTTAGCCTCATCCAGCACAGCACCTTCTGCTCCAGTTTTACTAACCTGTACAATATTTCAATAAATTACTAAATTTATCTTCAAAAAACACCTTCCACATTTAATATAAAACTTGAGTAATCTTCCTTAAGTCAGTTTTCCTGACATTGAGGTACTCACAAACCCGGATTAGAATAAGCAAACTCCTCAGACTCTTTTCCCTGATTCACCATTAATTTTTCATTCAAAACTCAGTGCTTGAAGATGTTTCTGATTTTTTTTTTAAACTGAAGTGAGTATTTTTCCTGCAAATTATGCCTTTTCATAGAAGATAAATGTATAGTTAAAAAATTCTATCAAATAAACAACTTCAAAAGTTCTTTGAAGTTTGTCAAAAAGTTTGCATTCCTTAGAGTAAAAGGAAATAAGTGCTATAAGTAATTTACAACATCAAAGCAACCAAGAGTTACAACTTTGTCTTAATAAGAAGTTCTATCTAGTTTGTCCAGAGGTCATCCTTAAACAAAACCAAAAACAATAAAACAACAAAAAAAAACCAACCAAAACCAAAGAAAACGCTACAGCAACAAAACACAACAATCAAAAACCCTAAGAAACCACACACTACTGCTCTCCCACCAGCACCACCCCCCCACCGGAAAACACAGAGTCTATATTAGCAAGAATTTGTGAGAATAGACTTTAGAGGCTGAAGCTGACCTGCATGAGTGCTCTAGGAACTTAGGTAGATATCAGCAGAAATGTGAAAAAAATTCTACCCTGAGACCATTCTATTTCCCTTAGCTCTTCTGCCTCAAGGGCTGAATTTGACTTATAGTTCTATAACCCTCCCTTTACTATTCTTCTCACCAAGCTGTGACAATAACTACACTAAGCAATTCCATTTGCCTATGTTTAAACCAACCCAAGGCATCAAAAAAAGTCATGTACTTCAAAAAGACTGGAAGAAGCATGAAAGCAAAGTTTGAAATAAACAGTGGAAGAAACAAAACTACAGAGAAAGGAGACCTATAACCCAACCTTTTTCTTTAACTTTGTTCTCACTGTAATGCTTCTTTCCATACTCAAAAAAAAAAACCAACAAACCACTACTAAGAAACACATTTCAGAATAAACACAGAATCAGAGACAACAATAAGGCCATAAGGCCATATAACAACAACATGAGGAAAGACAACAGCAAGCAGAAAGGACTGAAAAAGATGGAGGATTACCCCAGAACTGAAGATGAAAAGAACATAAATCCAGCTCTTAAACTGTTAAATTACGGTCAAGTGACAGAATAAGCAAAATGGTACATATTTCCTTCCTCGCTTTAAGCCACTGACACAGGAAAGCAAGCTGTCATTTTAAACAATGTTAATCAGAATTGCAAATTAAGAAACTCAGTACCACTAAATAAGAAAATTCAGACATTTCACGTCCATGAAAATCTTTGTATTCCAGTACCTGGCTACCCAACACACCTGCACACATTGTTGCTCTCACAGATAGCGAGACTGAACTCTAGCCTATTTCCCCACCCTATTCCATATTTACAAACCCTTCCTGCAGAAATGCAGATCAGCTTAAGGAGGTAGTACCTAACAGCCAACTCAGACTAGGATTCAGAAACCACAAGTCAAAATTAAAACACTTCAGAGATGACAACTGAACAACTAGTATTACATTAACGTAAAATATTTGATTGTAAAGAACGACCAGATTTTTTCAGAGCAGAAAAAGAAATTTAGAATTACCTTTTCACTACCTGCCAAGTCCACAAGGTAAAGTTTTCCACTTAGTTTCTGTTCTGTTTGAGTATTCTCTTGTTTTACATTAATAAGAAAAATACTATGACTTCGGGAGCTGTGTTCATTCATATCTATAATCCAAAATATATAAATTGTCAAAAATATTTGTACAACCAACCTAACTTAACAAAAAAGTATCTTCCCACAGTGAAGTGACAGATCTACTGCTAATGAAACTGTACAGAGTAATCTTCAAATGACAATAAAACTAGAGGCAGCAAACCCAATAGTATCGTCTAATTGAATAACAAAGATCCAGTCTCCCTTGAGGTTCTATTAATACCACATAAGCTCACGGATGAGATTTGCTAGCTTGTCAACTATGGACTTCACACATTTAATTTACTTTATTAGAATAGAAAGCACATTTACATTCTGATACCACAACTTTTTTTTTTTTTTTGTAGATTTACAATGTATCACATTTTATCCTTTTGTGAAAATTTGAACCAGATGGCCATAACCTTTCACCCCTTTCTGGTTTAAATACCTACTGCTTCCTCCACCGTGAAACAGGCAGAGTAAACAAGACTTACTGAATTTAAAAAATTATTTTAGTTCATTAACAAAGTTTAAGCTGACTGCAATCTGATTGATAACATCTGCCTATTTCTTCTTACTTAACCATAAATCCCTCAGAGGCCTAGAAGGACCAGCTCATTGATGCCACAGAAGCAGCTCAACATAGAATAATATCCTTCTATCCAAATTTCTGCTATTTCTCCGTTACTTAATCTGGTCCCAACTTCAGAACCTCACTACCTAGGAGCAACAAAGTAGAAGCGCAGGACTGAGTCAGTCCTTAAAAGGAATATCATATTTTTATTTTCAACCCTTAATCAAAGAAACGAGAAGAACAATGTTTTATTCTCTTAATGACTGCAAATTCTATCTTTTGTGGAGTAAAGAACTGGACATAGGAAGATTGTGAAACTCACCCTCAAACTGGCCCTCAAAGATTTCTGACAGTCAGTTCAGCTGCTAAGAGCTGAAGTATTATTTTGCATGCACCTCATCTTTCCTTGTCGTGTTTTTTGTTGTTTTTTTTTTTGTTTTTGTTTGTTTGTTTGTTTTTTTAAACTCTCTGTCACTTCCTAATCCTGCTTCTTGTGGGAATTTGGAGACCTACGACATGGCTTCCTTGCAACTCCATTGCATGCCACAGGCCAAGAACCTTGGGACATTGGGATGTTGCTTAAATCTGCAGCATGTCAGAATATACATTCTGATGCTCTCTTCTTAGAATATGCAATAGAATGGTGAAACTGTAGATGAGCCACAGTGCCTTATAGATTCATAGGTTAATTGAAACAAATACCACACACTGGGATTTTGCACAATTCCTAACACAGAACTACATCTTTTTGTCCAATGATTCAGAGCTCCTTAATGATCACTTACTCTCTCCTTCCAATCCAAATCTAAGTAATAACATCTAACAAGAAATGAATTAAAATACTTGGTTTTGAAAGACATGCTGAAATTGATTATGCTAGACCCTTTCAAAAACCTGAATTACTTAGCTTACTATTTTTGCCTTCCCTACTTTTTAAGGCATACCAGAAGCAAATCGATAAAGCACTCTAAGACGACAGAAGATAATACTTACTTGTAACTGCTACATGTCGGTTTGACTTTCCTTCATCTATAGTATCCATAACTTCTTCTGGACTACATACAAAACGCTCCGTGCAACCCTTAAAAAAAAAAAAAAAGGCAAAATACCATCACACCAATAAGCCAGAAGTAAATGCTGTCACTAGAGGAGTGAAAGATGAAAACATATCAGATTGATGCTCACCTTTACATAGGGAACTCTATTTTTGTCCTCATGAACAGAAAGATTGGTCTTTGAAACTGGAAGAGAAAAAGTTTTAAAGCTAAGGTATATATGATTTCTTTGCAAAATGAACGAGCTGTGTACCATGCATGTCTGTTAACAGACATAGATGTTATTTCTCAGCAACACTTTATAAAAAACTTAATATACGTGAAACACCCACTATTGCAGCTTTAGTATTATTATATAGATTAGCTCTATGCTTTCTTATTTTGATGTACCCGTATCATTTACAGGTTATTAACATACTGCATACCTATTTCAGTATCATGAGAATATTTTGGGGTTTTTTTTATATCTCTCTCCAGAACAATTTTTTTTCTATGTTCAATATAAATAAAAGGCTTACCATCCAAAAGGTCCCTTATTTTATCCAAGTATATTTCAAAATATGACACCTAGAAGTGGGAAGGAGAATAAAGATACAGCATCAGAACACAAAGTGTTTTGCTTTTTGATTAGTATGACTTCCCACGTAATACCACATGTAGTGCAGGTCCTTAAGGCTGAACTAAAATACACCTTTAAGAAGAAACTACTTTGATCAAAAGCTTCAAGAACCATCAGCACTGCCACAGGTTATCAGGATAGCCACCACCAATGTTTAATGGAAACAAGATTAAAGTGTTAATGTAATTCTTCTTTAAGAAGAGTCAGTTACTTCAGAAATAACTCATTTAGATTTTCCAAGTTACAGGCATTTAAACAGATAGAGAACATCCATTTAACCACAGACTACTTCCAGTTGTAATATAGATTAACAATGAAAAAAGTTTACCTTAATATGAAACTCAAGATTCTCATCCATAGAGTAAATATAATTAAAAATATCTTGCACTATTCTTGGAATAATACCCATTCCGTCCGGGTCGTGAAGCTTCCCCTTATTAGAAAAAGATAATAAAACGAAACTTTCACACTGAATCCAACATCACAAACAGTATCCAAAGGACAGACATTTAACAGGCAAATTAGTTTTAAAATGCTGACAGGCACGATGCACTTATTTTATCTATAAAGGGAAGTCTTGACCATCCATTTAGTCCCAGCATTTGCCAGAAATCTCCCAAACTAGTAAAAGTGAAAATGTACTATTAACATTACGCTTGTGTTTCTCATCCTACTACTGAGGGCTGAAAAAATACATTTGCCATTCTCAGTCCTAAAAAAAAACATTTTGGGTATCAAAATGTTGCAATGGAAAGAAAATTAAAGTCGCAAGATGAAAACAAGCATACATCTTATTTCTAGAAAGATAAGACTATTGTGATGAAAAAAAAGATGACAGTGACATTAAGAGGAAAATTATTTTAAGATTTCTTACTTCCATAGTGTGTGTCTTTCCAGACGATGTTTGCCCATAAGCAAATATTGTACCATTGTATCCCTCAAGTACATCTAAAGGGAAAGAGTATTTTCATTAGGTTTCATTTCCTTCTTCTAAAGGAAAGTAAAATGAAATAGAATGCAAGCAGGCAGTTCCTAAAATGTTCAGCAAGTTAAATCATTCAATGTTTGGGAACTCTGTGCTAGAGGGTGTTCCTCTCTACTCCTTTTAATGCATTAAGTCATCATTGACTGCATTTTAGAAGTTTACTGTATTAGAAGCATCTGTTCCTTCAACCAGAAAAATCAGGGCTTCGGAGTCAGGTACAAAAAGGAAATCAATACAACTGCCAGGTTGAAGAAATATTCTTTGATAACTCAGAAGAAACCACCACACACAAGAAAGCTGTCGTATTTTCTGCCTTCAGGGAAGTTTAATTGTCCAACTGTGAAGAGAATGGGCTATACTGTAAGTTTCAAGCACCTTATTCTTTGGCCATTAAGCTTATATTTCAAGTTATGAGTGAACCACCACAAAGTTTTAGATCGAAGGGCGAGGGGGTGGTGAGTTGGTTTGTTTACAAGTCAGCTACTGTAGAATCACATCCGGCAAGCAAACTTTTATTTACCAAAACCAAGCATGAGATACTCCAAGTCTTTGCCACCCCATTATACCCGTAATCCGTTTGTATCACCACTACAGCTCGTTCGCCACATGATGTAGCGCAGCCTAGAAACGCTGCGCAGAGAAACACAAACCAGATTTTTAGATGGAGAAAAGGGCAGCATTACAACTCTTAGTTAATTTTTAAGAAGCAAACTTATGATCTAATCCTAATTACTATTTAACTCAAAGAGTTAAACACTTGCAGCAGCATGGATTTTCCACAGCAGTTCACTTCTCTAGTGATCAGAAAACTCCCACATTTACCCAGTCTTCTCTATACACTATTAATGGATATTTCAGAGGAAGGTTTTGTTAAAGTTGTTTTGAAAGTTGTGTCAATTAGAATTTATTTCTGACCTCCTCAAGAAATTAATCAATTTTATTTTCAGGAAACTAGCTAATTGTTTACTACAACAACTTACGGTGGTATAACCTTCTTTGTGATAAAGTCTTGATTTTCTGAAGTTACTAGGCCCATTCTGACAAATCAAATTTGGAGAAACCGTACACCCTGACATGCACAGCACTAACTCACATTTAAAGTTTTAATTGTGAAGCTAAAATTCACATTCAAAAAAATGCCCCTTAAAGTGTGTACTAAATAAACAAGCTTAGAAAGTATCTATAGCGTACATGATTTCACAAGTTTCCTTTCCTTATATTCCTCCAAACAAACTAAAGCAATTCTAGGGTGTTTTCACCAATGAATTTGAAGGAAAAAAACCCCAAACACAACAACAACAAAAAATATTCCTGAGAGTTATTTTGATTAATTTTTGACAATTTTTTTTTAACATTCTCTTGCAGAGAACTGCAAAAAAACCCAAAACATGACAGGTAAATATTATCAAACGTTGCAATGGACTGAAACAGCAGGTTAAGCACTGACATAATTTATCAGCTCAAATACAGGATGGTTTTATACTACTATGATCCATGTTGGCTTTTATTAAAAATTCAGAAGGTAAAAGGGAACAAGAGAAGTATCAGTTTTCAACATTGAAATCCACACGAATACAAGACTTTTCATTATGGTTAAAGTTGCTGTTCCACCTTACCTTTGACAATCTTTTTAGCACAATCATTGTATACTTGTTCCTGTGATGTGTTTGACTGGAATACACGGTCAAATATATATGGCTTGGACTGAAAAAAAAAAAGACGACACAGAAGAACTATTAAAAAAAGGTATGGAAGCAGAACTCGAAGGTGCTTGTTCATATAGTTTAGAAGTAGCCTATACTGTCTCAGCCCAATCTTTTGGGCACTTGAAGACTGTAGCAAGGATATCAGCTTATACAGTGTTGCCTAAATCTTCACATGCTTGCCTACAAGTAAGGCCTTGAATATATTTGGTTTCAAAATGCAATCTAAACAGGTCTCCAAAACTACTCTGCCACACGACCTCAATTTACTTGATTTACAAGGTAAACCAATGCCCACTCTGTACATCTTGAGAACCCCTTATTCTCTTCCACTCTGGTAGCAGGTTTACTCTGGTAAACTTAAATTATTAAGAACAGCTTATACCACATCACACACAGTATCTGTCTCGGTAATATTTGTTAAAAACCTCAAACCAAAAAGAAACACTCAGATCACCTACAGTCAGCAAAAGAACTATTTCCCCATACATGATATCCTTAAAAAAAGCTCCATAAGCAGAAGCAAAAGGCCACTTTGGAGGAAGGGAACCTTTCACAGAAGACTTGTTTTGGAAGACACTGTAAGAAGAAGCTCTGACACAGCTTTTTGAAAGGAATGTTGGATTTTGTTTTGTTTTATAGAAAAGATTTTCATAATGCAGTTCTAAGTAGCTGACAATCCTTTAGGGTATGAACTATTATAATACTCATCTTACAAAGTTCAAGTTTTTTGTAGCATATTCAGAGCCTGATTTAGTAGGCAGCCAAGCAGATAGGCAAGGTTTACAGGGGATGACCTACGTCAGTTACCATTCCTAAACTCACTGCAACTGTTAAGTGCTCCATTTTGCCTAAATTTAAGTCATTATCATCCTCCCGCAAGGATATTCTGGAACCGCCTCCCTGGCAAAGGAACAAGTGTAGCTTCCATCTTTCACCCACCCACCACATTCCCTTCCCCAGCCTGACCTTCCTTTTAATAACATCTAGCATAACACCAAACAAAGCTTTTTAGATTCAACACATATCTATCCGCTGAGAGGCTCGAATTCAGGTGGATAAACTCCCTCTTGGAAAAAATAATTAGAGCATTCACTGTGTAAATACACTCAAGAAACCACAAGAGTCAGAAGGCAGAAACTGTCCCTAAGGTGCCGAAGTTTGTCAGAACGCTTGTTTCACGGCAGGGAAATCACAAGCCTTTTCCATTACTCATTTTAGCTTCAAAACACCTCAAATTCGTACGTTCTACAGGTAGAATTGAGTTTATTACATAAACCAGAAGACAATCAACTAACAAGTTCAAGTAATCCTGAGGTAAGAAAATGAAGACTGAGAACACATTACACAAAAATCTAAGTCACTGTAGAAAAGGTAACACCAGCTACACATTTTCTTTCTCACTGCAGCTGTAGTTTCAAAAAGCCTCCAACTTCACAAATATCAATCAGCTACACTACATCACGAAACATTAATCGGATCTGTTTCATGCTCAAGTTCTTCTCCATATTTGTATGCACCGAAATGCCACCATTTTGGAGGATCATATTTACCATTTTGTTAAAAACCTCAAACCAAAAAGAAACACTCAGATCACCTACAGTCAGCAAAAGAACTATTTCCCCATACATGATATCCTTAAAAAAAGCTCCATAAGCAGAAGCAAAAGGCCACTTTGGAGGAATTGGAAAAATACAGTGAGAAGAGCGATAGCGTCCAACGTAACTGCAAATAATCTGTGCAGCATTAGTAATTTGTGTGTTTGTACTTGTAAGATTTAAACTCTTCTGCAAATTATTGCTCCAGAAAAATATATGGATTACAACAATTCCAATTAAATTTATTTTAGAAAAATTAGGGAACAGTTCCTGGATACAATCTTGTAACAATCTATGCAGCAAGTGTTAACAATACTCACTATTTATTTCTCACAGATCCCAACATATCTGATCTTTGCTGTTCTCAATACAGCATGACAACTATGAGAACAGAAAAGTATATTAGAATGCAAACATTATTTGCATAGTATGTGTTTGAATGTATACACATACATTATAGTGTATTTATATATTACTACAGAATATTTTTGATGCCAAATGATAGATTTCTTTTTTTTTTTTAAATTTTCTTCAAAGAAACCCAACTTTTTAAAAAAAGAAAAAAGAAAAAAAATAAATATCAATCCTAGCTTCCAGTAGAGGAAGATACCTTGTTTAGAAAGAACTGCAAGCACAACCTGCACTAGTCACAACTACCCTCCAATCTACAGGTATTTGCAGCAGGTTCTGAAAAAGCTTTCCTTCTCTAAGTTTTTAAACAACATTTAGTGGGGTTTGTTTTGTTTTTTAATTCTTCTGCCAAGCAGAGGTTGACTGAATTAAACTATTCTTCATCTATGTTAAAGGAAAATGACATTTACTAATTTGAGAGTAATCCATAGACACAATACTTTTAGACTATCTACTCTCCAATTGCCATTCAAATGCCTTCATAAGAGAACAGAGCCAAATTACAGTATCTCATATAATTACAGCCTCTTTTGTTTCACAAAATGGTAATATAACAAATAGCATGTACAACGAATGCCATGGACGGTAAGAACAGAAAACCAAGCTGCAAGGACTTCACTTGGACAGTAATGCCTTTAATTGATCTTGTTTATTTATACAGCGAAAGCTGGTAGGCACATGACAAATTCCAATTTCCCCTCGAGTTAACAACTGCTACCAACATATCCACAATATGTAATAATTCTGACCCAAAAAAGCCTCACAAGGGGTCCTGTTTATACCACTTGACACTTCCCCATCCCTTGCAGGTGGAAAGTAGAGTATTTGTTTACATGTCCTCAGTATTATAGTTCCTAGATGAAGCCACAATACAACTTCAAAGCACTCAAAAACCCAATTACATATTTCCCTCCCAGGTTGCAGTGCAATTATCACACCTATGAAAACCCACATTAGAGGCACGTCCCTGCTCCATCATTACCGAATCAATATCTAACCAAGTAGGTTTAGCCAGGCAGGTTCCAGGATAATTATGTTTTAAGAATACAAGTTACTCCCACTCATATGGTTTCACATCTTTGACATCTGCAATACTATGTCTTATCACTTCTCTTTACAGTCTACTTTCTGCTGTAAACAAAGCTAAAACAGCATTACACAGATTACCCTGCCCTAGAAAGCCTCCTCATTACCTTTAAGAGATTAATCAAGAAAGATTAAAGCATCAGATATTTTTTCTATACCAGATGCCTTTTCTTCCTCAAGCAGTAAACAATCAGATATTATGATGGAACTGAAAACACAAAAGGTGCAAGCAACGTTACCACCTGGTGTCAATGGCAGTGTCACTACTGTGATATGATGCTGCTTTGACACAGCTCCAGAAATTTTCAGCAAATGCTACTCAAATTCTAATGAAAATTTAAAACATACAACCTCTAAGCAACACAGAATATCAAGCAAACGAGCAGAGCTTCTGACTTCTCCTCTCCAAATAGAGAGAATTCAACACATATTCACTCCTTGCCCGGCATTTGCTGTCCGTAATCAACTACAAGACAACTTCAGCTCTCATAATTGCTCGTGCTGAAGGGATGTGGTCCCACAGCAAAAACTTTGCAAGTACTCTCACAGCCCTCAAAAAAGTACATGTTTAAGTACACAGTCCCGCAGTTAACCTAAAAGTTAGTTACCAGTTGTCCTTATATAAAAGCATGCTCAGCCTATCTAACTTATACAGGATTGGCAGCATATGAGAGTTTGTTCTTCAGAAGTCAGTTTTTCTCAGTACCTTCAATGAGGACTACACAAAAATCTGATCATAACTAAACTGAAATCTTACCTTAAAAGTCCTAGAAATACTTAAGGTTATCTCCCCTAGAAATAATTTTAAATATCTTTCATTTTCCCATTGTAACTTTCTGTAAACTACAGAATTGGTAACTGATAACACTACTTTAGTTCACCTTATTTTCTGTGCATTAGTATCTGAAGCACAGTCAACAGCAAAAATTTACTTGAAAATCAGTAGCATATTTTTCTGCCACAACCTATCCAGATGTTCTTCACTGCTTTTTGCTAGAATGGACTGCTAGAGCAATATTATACCCTCTAATGGTTCGCTTAGTCTTGGTAAGAGGTTGAAGGTTGGTTGGCCTACCTCTCCTTTAAGTTTCACATCTTTAATAAAGAACATTCTTCCCATCAGCACAAAATACGGTACAAGAAAAATCCCACACCGAACAATTTCTGGAAAGCATGATGTCAAATACCTGACTCAGTTCTTCCTGTTACTAAGCTAAGGTATTGCTGCTTTGACACACCTAACAGAGTCCAACATTGCAAAGGACTGAAAAGGCACTGTTCCAAATTAGTATTTTATTTTTAGGATAAAGGATTTTCTTCTTGTCCTAGCTCTACGCATACAAAACTGCAGCTGACACAGAACAGTTAGTGGATCTCAGCTCTTTCTGCCTTATTTTTCCTATTTCTGTGTAAATACTGGAACTCAAGTATCAATTTATACAGCAGTTATTTATTGTTGTTACAGAAGGACTAAACCGTGTAATTTTATTTTTAAGAAATTGTGACTGGAAACTGAATTTCCAGCATCAAAACAGAGAGAAATTTTGGAATAAGAGTTTCAGCCAAGCATTGCTCTAGTAAAGAGTTTCTTCTAAAGAAAAAAGTAAGCACTGCTGGCATAAAAACAGTCATTGAATTTCAGAACAACCAAGTATGAGATGAGTGAGGTGTTTCTAAGCAAGTGGCAGAGCAACCAGGGAGTACAGCTCTCTCTTTACACATTACTGTAAGCTAGAATATTTACTTTCTGTTAAATCATCAGACAGACTTCCCCATTACCCACCATTTCATGGAATGAAACATATATAAAAAAGTAATAGAGAGTAACACTGAAAGAATATTATTGTTTCAGCTGCAGATTGCAACTTCCGATTTAGGTTTAAGTTGGACTGTAGACATTAAGTAT